CAGCTCAAGTACTCCCCTTTGCTTTCTCTAATGAGTTGTCTTTGCCAGCTCCCGCTCTCGCTATGCAACTCCGTCTCTTACCTTCTTCTGTCAGATTGCTGCGTTTCATTTCTCATCCGGTTTTCCTTCATCTCTGCATACGTTTCATTCCCGGCACCCTCCCATAAGCTCCCTTTTACTCAGTTCCAGTCTCCTGAGTTATAGAGCTCCTCGAGCCCCGTTGCTTAAAAAGGAGTCGTTTTATGTTGCTTTATTGTGTCGATTTACTTTTTCTTTTCCTCCCCCCCTTCGCCCAGTTCAAAAGTCCGCGTGGCAAAGCAGCTAGGAACACTGTTATAAAGAGGGTTTCAGTCAGTCTCTGTCGTTTTGAGCATGCTTAAGCAGATGATAGTTAAAAACTGCTAGTCACCCTTTTGCACCACTGCTCAGTCTATTGCTGTGGCTGGCACAGCTCCCTAGTGATGGAGAATCTGAAGAAAAATGTGAGTTGAGGCAGTCTCAGCCTAACTTCTGAATTCCTCTTTGCTTTTGTGTTTGAAAGTTATCCTAAAGTTTTTTTCCATGTGCAAGCTGCGTATTAGTTTCTGGGGTAATGGATTAGGCATCTCTCTTAGGCACCTTTTTCCCACTTTTGGGACAAAAGCCTTGAGTGTGTTGCTACATGACTATTTTATGTTGGTGTTGAGTATGGGATAAGGCTTGGTAAACAGAGTTTAAATTCTGGATAGACAACTTAAACACTTTACAGAAATACTATTGTGATTACAACTTAAATACTTCACTGCAATATTTCAACATTTCACATCAGTTGGACAAGATTTAAAATAAGATAATTTTAAATTAAAAGTATTGTTAAATTCTGAGATAAAATACTTGCATGTAGGTGTTCTGACTTTTTCTTGACCCGCTTCTGGAGACATTAAGAATACTGGAGAGAAATAAAATAGAGAAAGCAGTTGTGATGGTCAGATAATTTCCTTTGAAATGGTGGACAAATGCAGTGTTGAGGTATAAAAATTTGTGTCATCTGTGGAGGAGTATGTCATAAAAGTTAATATATTAAATGCAGAACTCAGTCTTGGGATAAAAAAAATAGCTAGGGACTTGACAACATGTGTGCTAAAGACTTTAAGAAATAAAGTAAATGTCTACACCTGAGATAAAGTAAATCCAGTTTGGGCTCCCAAGTGGAACTTTTTATGTGTCTTTATATATGGTACTTTTGAAAAGATGTGTCTTCTTGCTGTTAAAACCAAGTGTTTTTTTTGGAGTTCCATCGCTGAATTAAATATGTCTTAACTCAGGCTTTGTATACACCACGGAAGTTATATTTCTGTAACTCTACAGGTATTGGAAGGAACTGTGCAGCTCTCCCAGGGCGAGTGTTATTATTTTGGTGAAGGTGATTTCTTTTAGAGGAAAAAGGGTGAGTTAGTATTAGTTACATCCAAGGGTAATTAGCAAATTATCTCATTTCTAGTCAGCATAATTCTAAAAGTTCAAATGCAGACTAGAGTCTAGTGTATCTTGTGATATGCTTTTTTTGTGCTGGTTTGAATATATACTATTATACTTATTATCGTATAACTTACACATCTGCTCTCTTTTTTTGATGCAAAAATTACTTTTTTGATTGAGGCACCTCTCATTTATTATGCAGAGGAATGGTGGTGCTATATAACAGGTTAGACCTCTGTGTTAGACGTCCGCCTCATTCATTGCAGAAAAGCATACCAGAGTTATTGGAATGATATCTATATTTCTGTTGTTCATTGTCTGGGTCTTATGTCATCTTTGTTATGGATAATCCAGTCTTCCAAACGAACAAAACTAATGATGAAGTTCCAGTAAATTTTGGTGATGTTTATCATGATTCTGTATGAAGGGCTTCATAAGTGTTTCTGAATTTGCCTACACAACTGTTCTGTCAATATGGAATCATTTACTTGGGCTTACATAGTACTGTAGTAAATAAAAGGGTTTTCTAGGTGACATTCAGTTGCCTATATCCATGAGACCATGCAAAAAACAACAAATATGTTAAAATTAGAAATGACCATTAGAGTGTCATAAATTCAATTATAAGATTTTTCCTAAGGGGAATTCTTACATGTAAAGTTGTTTATCCACCTGCGTTGTACTTTCCTATACCTTAACTTTGCTGATTATTATGAGGTCTATAGGTGTGTGTAGGGATATTCACTCTGATTATACCATACTGAAAAGTGGCAGTTAAATTTTAGTGTGTTAACAACTTCTTCCTTCTGCAAGAATATTCTAGTCTTTTATGTGCCCAATCCTACTCCGTTTCTTGACAACAGAGTGGATCTTGTCTTCTAAAGAAACCTTTCTTTTAGTATTTATGGTTCTTTTTAAGCTTCTGGTATCATCTCAGTGTGTCATATGATTTCTTTCCTCCTAGAACAATTTACCTAATCTTTTCATCTGTGGCTCTCTTACCACAGAATACCATTTAATGGGGCTCCCATACTACCAGCAGAGTGACACACTTGTAGTATTATGTTGTGTGCTTCATGGAGAAACAGAAAAGCTAACTTGCTGGGCTCTAGCAAAGATTCTTACCACCCTTTTCTTCGAAAGAGCATTAAAAAAAGCTTGTTCTCAGGAAAGCTCTCTAATGAAGGGGTCTGCTTGAAGTTACATGATACTGCCTGAATGACCTTCTGCAAGTGAGACTGTTGCTGTGGGCGCTGAGCAATGACTTAAGGAAAGCAAGCGTGTTTGGTTTAGTTAGGTGCTGATGACGTCAATACCTGTGTAACTATCTATATTTTTCCTGTTTTTCTAGGAGCAGTTGGCAATGTACTTTTCACACTCTGATTCCATGAGCATTTTAAGTTAGTATTGATGCTCTGGCTGCTTATTCTCCCCATCAAGCACACAAAAGAACTTCTGTAGCTGAGCAGTGCATCATATTAGGAAATTCGTGTGTGTTAAGATTAATAGGGTTTTCTCCTCCCTTGTGTCTTGCTGGGTCAGTTTTAACTTGTGTAGTTTTCCTGTCCAGTTCACCATACCAGTACTTTTGAAGGCACAAATGTTGAACAGAGCAACTGGCAGTAAAGAGAAAGGCAGGATTGCTCCTTTTGATGGTAGTGCTGGTTTACAAAAGGTTAAACTGTTCATAGAACTGGAATGTCAGAAAGTCTGTTTTGAATGCCAGAAAAATTGGCACTTTCATTTTCCTTAATGAGACTTCCTCCTAAAAGCACTCCTCTGCATTGTGACATCTCTGCTGCTTAATTTCACAGGTGCACTCTAAGTGTAGTGAAGCAGTTTGTGGTCGTCTTGTGGTTTTTTTTTGCTACAGAGGATCTTTTGCATTGCTGTGCCTCTTGGTTACTTTGTAGCTGGATAAATTATTTTATATAGTCCTGAATGTTCTTAGTTACACTCTCAGAAATTAGATGTTGTAACATCTGAGGAAATTAGCTTTCTTTTTTTAATTTATATTTCTTTGTTCTAAGTCATATCTATTAAGATCAGCTTAAGAGAAAGCGTAAAAGAAGAATGTATTTTTTTCCATCTGTTTTCATATTATGCCTGTTGTACTTCTCTGATTTATGAACTAGATAACTGAGAGCTTGCAAACATAGTAAATGTATTTGTAAACATAGTATAAGAATTTGCTATTGGCAGTGCAGGACATAATTCCATATTGCATTGTGTTTTCACAGCAAAGGAACAAGTTTTTGGTTCCCCCCCCATTCCACTTATATCCCTGTGTTACAGCTTACCAATCTTTGAGTTGTATCAGCACAACTGTTTTTATCTAAAGTTGTGCAACAAAATAATGAAATGTTTTCAACTAAACAAAGCAAACATATTTACCTCTTATCACATTGTAGGGTCATCCAGTAATCAACATTATTGTTGCGAATGAGAGGTTAGGTTGCTTAAATGATCACTCAAAGGTTTTGCAAGAAAAGATTATACTGAGAATTTAGAAAATGTGAGCTTACAAAGTTTGTTGGCAAGGTCCGCTCTATTACTTATCAAACGAAGGGAATACAAAATCAAAGGAATTTGTGAGGAGAAAATGATTTATACAGAGTAAAAGAAAAGTGTAAGGGTGTAGGGGGACCCTCCTGTTGAGTCACCAGGTTTGGACTGGACCCCTTTGCTTTCTAAACTCCTCCTCAGAGGGGAGCCTAGGTGTGGCTGGATCCAGAACCGGCCTTAGACCGCGAGGGTTTATGTCTAAGGATATGTTTAACAGCAATTCATGGTGTGTTCACAGTTTAAAGACAGAGTGACAGGAAGTTAGCAGCTATTAATCACTGGTTAACTTAACATTTACCTAGTGATTAAAAAGAATTTTCTATTATAATCACAGTAATAGAATATTGTGTTTTGAATTGATTCACACACACACGTTATCATAAAAGATCCCCTCAAGTTCAGTGAAATACTTCAAATCAAATTATTTCTCAATGGGCAAAGGTCGAGTCTCAAGGAGATCAGCCCAGGTAGTTCGCGAGTTACTCTGAGAAGCATCCTACTCGGAGGGACTTACTGGGCACAGCCCACTGCGGACCAGAAGAGCTCAAAGGGCCTTCCTTGGTACCACTGTTTATAGGGTCTCAAGATAATTGATTTTAGGCATAAGTAATTTTCCATCCTGGACAATCCACATGATGCAGACAGCAACTATTCAATTCCAGTACCACGCAGAATGTACAGTTCTGACATTTACCAGGCAGGTGCGACTCCAGGCATCAGGAGTTTCAGGTGCAGTCAGGGAGCGCCTGATCGGCCCAACTCACTGCTCTTATACAAAGACAAGGAAAGTGCTAAGTCGTCCTGATTCAGTGCACACCAGCCAACTATTCCTGCAGTGCAAGCAAGAATACAATGTTGACTGGTTCTGGGATTGCCAGGTGAGGGGGGGCTGTACCACTATCAACAGTTCTATTGCTACAGCTAGTGACTAAATATACTGCAGCATGGCAATGGGAAGACATTTTGAAGACGTAGGGATGGCTGAAAGTGTTGGGGTTTGGTTTTTTTTTCAGTTGGTTGGTTTTGTTTTGTTTTGTTTTTTTAAATCCACAAGCTAGTTTTGCCACTGGATAAAAAGTAACATAAAAGTATACCATTAGTTTCTTTGATTGTACTGTAATTTTTAGAAAATGCTTGATTTTTCATGCAACAAATTGATTAATCTTATAATTTTACTATGATGTTCTGAATATTCTATTTGTTTATACGGACACTTAACCAGAACATTGCTTTTTTGAGTATCTTGCAAAGTTAGGTGGAACCTGCCATCTGATATAATTTAGAGAGTCTTTTAACTTTTGAAATAAATGAAAGCCATTTACACTTCTAAACACTTCAAAATGTTATTTAGTACAGCAGTGAGTAATTTGATCCTTAGCTAAAAGGACATAATTCATGTCCTGACCCTATGCAGCAAATATTAAAGGATTTTCAGCAAGGTGAGCCTCCACATTTGTGGGAGATAAATAACGCCTTCAGGACTTCTTTGATTTAAATTGTGTATTTGAGAACTTTTGTTGATGGCATAATCTTCTGGTTTTGAGTGTTTATATCTAGCTTGTTTGAAAAATCTGATATTTTTCCTTGTTTCTTTTTGAATTTCAGGTCCCAGCCAAGTATGCCATCATGTTTATTGCTATGCAGTACAATGTCACCTATACCACTGGTGAGATTAAATTTGTTTTTTTTTCTTATAATACAAGATCTCAACTATTAAAAATTACTCAAGGCTTCAATTCACTTTTGTAATATAGTGGAACTCTCATATTTGTCTTGTCTGTTTTCGGATTTACTAATACTATATTCGCTGAAACATTCTAGCATTTTCTCTGTTGCTTGTGAATAATTTGGGTTATTTTTCCCCGTAGTTAACACTGCTACTAACTTACATTTTAATGTGAAAAGCATATATTCTTTCCAGTTTTTGATACAATCAACAGGAGTTACCAAGTAACAGAGTATTGTGGTAATATTCTAGATACCTGTTGCTTATTTGTGATTTCTCATGTCATTAGTAATAGATTTCTGTTTTATATTTCAGAAATACCACATTATTATTCTCACATAACTGATGTTGCTGATTCAGTCATGCTTTTAAATAACAAAAGGAGAAAGTACTGACTTTTTTTAAAAAAAGAATATTCCTTTTTTAAAATTTCATACCTGCTGCACTATATACAAGTGGTAAGCAGCTAATGGGATTTCTTAATTTGTGAACTCAATTTTTCTTAATAGTATTGATAGCTTTCATTTTTTTCCAGGAATTAATCTGCACAAAGTCTTGAAAAAAATGGGTACTGTGGTAGAATTATTCCAGATCAGAAACTAAGGTCCAGAGAAAATAGCAAAATCTATGACTTTTGTTCTAATCTTGACTTCAAAATTTGAGACCTCTGTGCTGCAACCATTCTAAATAGTGTAGCCTTCTGACTGCATTTAATATCTTCAAAATAATGCATTGATCAACTTTGTTTGCAGTAATGAATATATATAATTTTTTGCAAATGTTTCCTGAGATGTTTAATGTTGAACACTTGAGGTGTACACAGTCAACGGACTTCTGTTTTACTGGCATTTGAGCAGCATCAAGTAGAAATCTCCTATGGCAGAGACAAAAGTAAAATCCATGTGTCAGTTACCAAGATGCCTGTGATGTGACTTCTTCATAGTGTTTGGTGCATGCATGTGTATGTATCTGTGTGGATATACATACATACAATGGAAAGAACAAGGTATAGCTTTCTTTAGTTTTAATAGGAGGTGTGGATGAGTTCTGCACAAGCAATTCTGAGGTCTCAGTTCTGGCCCTCTGCAGACAATGAGTGTATTACTAGTGAAAGTCCATCCTGAAAAACAGTGGGACCAGGCAGAAATAGCATTAGCTATGCAATTACTCGTTCATTGATTATATCACAAGCTGCTTTCAAACATAAGAATAGGGCATCTGACACTTAGAGTTATATAGATGTCCTGTTTGTTAGGACCTTAATGTACTATTCATGTTACAGGAAGCAGTAATTGTTTTCTTCACACCTTTTAGCCTAGTTTCTTTTGGGGAAAAAAAAAAAAAAGTTGTTTGATGTCTGTATTTCTGCTGTTTTGCATTTGGGCAACACAAACAGTTTGACAAATCATAGAAGTCTTAAAGATAGCAAAACTCCTTGATGTTTATGAAAAGTGGTGGCTGTATGGGTAAGAGACATCCAAATTAATGCCCTCTCTTAAGTGAAAGCAGAAGAACGTAAATGTTGAACATGCTAGCCTGTAAATCAGGATGAGCATGGCTCTCGAGTAGTTGTAGTACAAGTTCTTTTTTTTCCATTGCAGCGTCTCAGATGCGTAAAGAAAAGTGGGGTTGTAAGGGGTGTTCTCTTCTTTTGGTAACTTTGGTTTTGATTTGTAGCAACCTATTGCTAATTCTGGGGAAGTTGTTACTTACCAATGTGTTGAACTACCAGGGATACTATCTCCACTGTATAGTTTCTTTTTTTCCTACATATAGTTGTGATTCTTAAGATGGAATCTCGTTTGGTGTCTACCAAAGTATAGAGGATAGGGTGTTGGTGTGTTGCGTTTTGTTTTTTTTTTCCTTTTTTCTTTCTTTTTTTTTTCCTTCTCTTTTTCGATGGTCTAGATGAAAGAAATGGATTGAAGCTACAGCTCAGTGTATACTGCTCTCAGTAGTTCGTTCTAGGCTTATAACTATATCGTTGTAATGAAGGAAAAGATGATCTGATTTATCTAATTGGGCATAAAATGTAATTTTAAAAAACATAAAACTTATAACTAGTATCCTGTATTAATTTAACATAACTTCCAAGAACAACGGTCACTGCTGCCCTTTCTCAGTTGCAGAGTACTCCTTCATAAGAATGTAAAAAGAAAGTAAAAATGCACCCTTTTTTTTTTTTTTTTTAGATGACAACAGCGAGCAGTTTCATTTTTATGACTATGGTCCAAAAGACATTGCCACGATCTTCTTTTACATGCTCGTAGCTATTAATCTGCATGCTGTAATCCAGGAGTACATATTAGATGTAAGTTTATTGCTGGGATATAATTTATTTTTATAAACATGTCATTTTTAGCCATCGGTTGCCAACAGTTTTTCTTCAAGATCACTGTAAGCTGTGGTAGAAGGAATGGTTTAGCATTTAGAAGCCCTGTTATGATTGATCCTTTTGTTCTTTGTCAAAAATGCAAATAGACCTTGGTTTAGTGGTGGACTAGGTAGTGTTAGGTTAACAGTTGGACATTATGATCTTAAGGGTCTGTTCCAGCCTAAATGATTCTGTGGTTCTCGGATATTTTTACAGTGGTATTTCCTCAATTTGTTATGGTATAAACCACTGAATCTTTCTTTCAGTCAATATCACATATATTTTTCTGTAAAAGCAGATGTTAAATGTTCATGCCTTACTCAAAATATCTGTGAATGAGGCCTGTTGCATTACATTCACAAGATAGATTCAGAAAATTAAAAATGAAAATTACTGCAGTGGTGGATTTCTGTTTGTCAGCTGAGCCTTGCCTTAAACAGGGAGCTTAAACTTCGTTATGTGCTCTTTTACATCAGCTCAGTTGTGAAATAAAATGAATTTGTTAAAGCCATAGTGAAGATGATGTATTATTAACTGATCTTAGAATGTCTTCACAAATAGGCCATCTGAGCCACAGAAGCTCAAATGGTTTTGAAGTGTGCAAAGAGATTTGAAAAATTTAACAATATGACTCTGATTATGGGGAAAAAAAAATTGTATGACTACATTATCTGAATATTTTCCATGTGAACTTTACCATAATGGCAAGTCTTATTGAAGCTAGTTGTCATGCCAAGTGCTGATCAAGATCTTAAATGGTGGGAGCTATGTATTTTGATTGAGGAATAGGAGATTTTGGGAGGAAAAAAACAGAAAAATAAACCAACTTGAGAGTGAACACTAACTCCCAAATAGCTTTCTTATTTTAGAAATTACATTTATTGGTCTGTTTTTTGTTTCTAGAAAATTAATAGACGTCTGCATTTGTCAAAAACAAAGCACAGCAAATTCAATGAATCGGGACAGCTAGCATTTTTCTACTTGTTTTCGTTCATATGGGGAGCAAGTATTTTGAATGCAGTAAGTAAGTCACATTTTGTGTTGTTTTTATTTTAAAAATTGACTTAAAGTATTAAGAAGGTCCTTAAATCAGTGGCCTTTTTCTTTAGGAAGAACTCATAATGAACCCAACTTCACTCTGGAAAGATTATCCCCGTTCTCGCATGCTGTAAGTGTTCTATTTTCAATTTTAAAAAATCTTGTACTTCTAATCACTGAATATTTAACCATCCCAAATTTTAGGGAACCACTAATAAGGTAGTGACATTGGTACCTTATAAGAATGACAATTAGATGAAAATATTTTCTTCTGTTTGAAAACTGCCAGATGTTTTATCCAAAGGTAGTTTTTGATGATGTGAGCATAGTTAAATGTGTTCTTACTTTTCTTCCACTTAACCATGGTAGCTGAGTTAGTGTTTGCAAGACAGGATATGTAATAGGACTGCTGAACTCTTTCACACTAAACAAACATGTTTGTTGGAAACTAAATTTTCAAGTTAGAGGGGATTTATAGCTTGATTTTTTTCTTTTATTTTTTTCAATTAAGATGACATTAAATTGTGTTGTTTGTCTGTCCCCCTCCCCCTGTTTTTTCCCTGGCGAGTGTGATAGATGGAAGGGGGATAATATACATTTTTTAGGAAGGGAGTTTCACTGCTCACAGAATAAACTGTTTCTGCGTGTTAGGTTTTCTGTTTTTTTTTATTTCCTCCTGTCTCAAAAGGTGATTCAGAACTTGCTATCAAGAAGATTATGGATGCTAATTCAAAAAACTGTCACCACAGTATTTGCAGTTCCTGTGATTTAAGAATCATAAACTGTAATGAGTCAGAAATTAATTCATTTAAGATAACAAAATCAAATCTCGTGTGTCATGTTGAAAGCTTGAAAACTCATCATCTTGTGGTTTCTTATCCTGAATTATTGTTTAGTTTTCAGGTAAAATTCTTCTATATTTGCCAGATAGCCTATTGGCTTCATGCACTGCCAGAGCTATACTTCCAAAAGATCCGAAAGGTATGGAGAGAAGTTGTCAGTATAGTTAATTAAATATCTATTATTTCCAATCATTCATATTAGTATTTTTGTTTATATTAACTATATAAATATGTACATATCTATATTTGTATATTCAGTTATTTGTATACTGTTTATGTATTTTAATTGCCTGCATTTCCTATCTAATTTAATCCAGGTGATCTGTAGGTTTTGATTCAGATAGTCTTTACAGAAATGTATACAATAGTGTGAAAAATAATCAAACCTAATGAATGATATGTTTTTTCTTTGGGGACGATATGGTTAAACTGTAACAGCCTTTATTACAACTTCTCTAATTTTAGGAAGATATTCTGAGGCAGCTATGTTATATTTGCCTTTACATTGCTCATATCTCTGGGGCCTATATATTAAAGTAAGTATTTGCATGTCCATTTTGAATAGAAAGATTATTTTCTTCATTATTTCATTAAAATTTCTAACATTCCTGTTTTATAGTTTGCAGCATTTGGGGCTAATTCTGATGGTACCTCACTATTTAGTGGAACTCATTTTTCATGCCTCGCGTCTTTTCTACTTCAGTGATGAAAACAAGCAAAAAGGGTAAATCTTGCATGTATTTATTAAAATTCAGATCTTTGCTTATAATTGTGTGTAAGTGAATCTGCATGTATGTAAAAGTACTCAGGTAGCAAACATCACTTGTTCAATGTCCACTGTTATCCACTTTGAATTCACGAGCAAGTCATTGTCATTACATAGAGTCAAGAAAGCAAATTCACTTCATGATCATCATCATAAGGTTTTACTGAAGCTTTTGTTAAAGTCCCATCATAGCTGTGTGTGTATTGGCTTCTGATTCTGTAAGTTGCCTGTTTGTTTAGATGTTCATAAATGTTTGTATGTGGGGACCCTTGTTTTTAAAAACAATTAAGCAAAGAAGTAGTAAAAGCAGCATTCCCTGTAAGTTGTTGGCAGGTCTCTGTCCTTTTGGTAAGGTGAGAAAAGTTGTTGGCAGGTCTCTGTCCTTTTGGTAAGGTGAGAAAGGTAAGTAACTATACAACAGAGAAGGTAATGTCTCAAAAAGTGTAGTTGATAAGATGCCTTCAATTATACATCTCTTGAGTAAGATTCTCAACTATTCTGAGAATTAATGGCTATGCATTTGAGAATGGAAGGAGATGAGGAACTGAGATATTTGATCATGAGGAGTGCTAGGAAGAATTGGATGTGTTTCATCATTTGAATGTAAAGACTTTTGGAGGTTCCAGTTTGAGTAAAGCAGCCTTGTCGCACTTACATGTTCTTGTCTCTTATTGTGTCTTTGTTTTCTAAATGACTGCCTGGCTGGAAGAGATTATTGTGAATGCCTTGCTTTCCTTCATGCAGTCCCTGTATACAGGCAGCCTCCCTAGAGGCAGTGTAATGCTGCTGCTCTTTCTGGTCTTTTGACAAGATTAATTTGTGTTGCTTCTTAAAACTAACATTTTTAATGGGTATGCTGAATGTTCTTTGTGGAAAATCAGTGTTAACTGATGCAAATAGGGAGAGAAAGTTAGCTGATCTTTCACTTGTATGTTGTGTTTAATTGTGAAGTTTTTGGAGCTAGCTTATCTGCTTTTTGTTATATGCCATCCAAAAGCATGAAGGCTAAATATTATTAGGAGAACATATTTTCCTGTCTTATGAAGACTCTAATGGTCAGATAAGCAACTATATCTTTCTTTGGCTGGAAATCGGTTATCCTTTATGCAATATTACCACAGTTTAAATAACAGGAAATGGAATTTGGTTTTCATAGCTGATGAATTGCAGAAGTATTTGGGACATTTTATTTCTATTACAACATGTAGCACTTACAATGTAAACTCTAGAAACAACACAATGTCAAATACTAGGTGTTTTTCTTGGCTCAGAAGTTATTGTTTCTTCTCACAGTTCTACATCCAGACATTGTAGCTTTTCTCAAAATCTTTTTTTGGAGGAGGGCATGAAGAGAGTTGCTTTTTAAGCAGTCTTGCTTATACTGCCAGAGATTTGAAGTATGTTTTCTTTAAGTTTTAAATCAGTTGAACAAGCTGGTGGGTTTTTTTTTCCAGTGGAAATTTTGGAAAGATGCTTTTTTCACACTGGTAGTGTCTTTTTTTAATCTATTCATCAGTCACACGATACGAAGTCTTTTTCCTATAGAAATCTTTGGTAGTATTACTGCCATTACATAGTTTTCTACATTAATTACTATCAGCTTAATAAAACTGTTCTTCAGGGTTTTTTCCCTGCATCCTGTAGCAAAACCTTCTAAATGCTGAAAATCTGCAGGATGGCATCTTTCACGGTTAGCTATAAGCTATTGTTAGTTATTTGCTATCTGATTGCCTTCTGTTCTTGTCCTATAAATGTCTGGCTGTTAAAAATTGTATATATTGTCTTGATTTTCCAACTGTTTAATAAGTGTAAATTGTACCTTTAATATCAGCTTTCTGGCCTTATAGCATCACGATTACTTATAAATGGCTTACAGCATGAATGCCAACTTGAGATGTGTCTTTTTACTTCATTGTGCTTTCTGGTCAAAAGATAGTATAATGAGGCAGACTGAGTGTTTGCAGATGACCGTATTTTTCTGTAATTATTGGTTCCCTCCATGGACATTTCCCTATCATGTCTGAGAGTTTTAATGAAAAGTTCTTTGCACATTTGACTTGACTGGAAAGAAGTGGACTAAAAGGAGAAAGCACATTAATTTAATTATTTTGTTTTCAGATTTACCATTTGGGCTTTACTTTTCGTAATGGTGCGTCTTTTGACCCTAACTTTATCTGTCCTCGCATTTGGATTTGGTCTGGCAAGAGCAGAGAATCCAGGTTTTTCCATAGCAGATGGAAACTTCAACGTACTCCCTGTGAGGTATAACAAGGCTAGTAGACATTCATGCTTCTGTAATGTGGAATTTCAAAATATCTTTTAATAAAACAATCCAGGACGATAATGTGTTTTGACGAATTTCCCTGGGTGATATTTTCTTCTTGAGTAAGGGAAGATAAATTTTGGTCTTTTTTTTCTACCTTTTTACAAAAGTAGCAGAACAGAATTTATGGGAAATAGAAAAGAAGAAAGAAAAAATAAACTTTTTTTTAATTAATTGTTGATAATTATCCAAAAAGCCTCGGATGATTATCTCTAAACTGCTCCCTCCCTTGCCCCTGTCTATACCAGACATAATATTATTTGTTGATATTAATACCCATAATTTTTGACTAATTATTTGTTTGGTGCCCTCCAAAAAGATTTTTATATCTTATTTTTTATATCTTCTATTTTTGCTTGTTAATTTTAAAATTTTATTACTTTTTCAGCATAGGCTCATCACTTTAACATTCACCCTTATAATTAAATGCCTGTAATCAAGTATGTGGGAGGGTTTTTGAATCTACATGATTTCTCATTCATAGATTGCTTGGCAGGAGGGGCCTCAGTGACACAATTCCCTATTGACCATTGAAAGCTATGGTCATAACTCCGTGATAAACATAATTGCTTCTAGCAATATACTTACATATGGTTTCCGTTCACTTCTTGTGTGACACCCTAGTCTTGGGTAGAGCCTTCTGATACATCTAGTTTCCCATGGTATGAAGATTTAAATTGTTTTGATAGTAGACTTTTGGAGAAAAAATAAAATAGGTACAGATTTGCAGTCTATTAATAGTTAACTGAAACTTTTATCTGTCTCCAAAATCTCAAATCTTATTAGGATTGGCTGCCTGGGTGCTGTTTGTCTAACACAGGCCTGGATGATGTGGAAATTTATAAATTTTCAGCTGAAAAAATGGAGAGAACATGCTAAGAACCAGCTTCCAAAGAAAAAAATAACTAATACAAAGAGCAAACGAACAAAAAAGGAACCAAACAGAGGTCAGTGGCATATTTTTTCAGTTGTTTCTAGACCAAATGTTTTTATGTGTTGTATCGTCTTATATTTTTCCTTTCTGTAAAAGAGCAAAACCATCTGTCTTTTGACATGCAGAGAATATAGATAATATTATAGCTTGTGTAAATGTTGGGACATGTGCTTCTCTAATTCCATATTGCTAACAGGACAGCACACGGAGTACTATGTGTTTTAAGTGTTAGCCCTGGGTGATCTTCAGGATTATTCACTGAACTCTATGTTAATATAAATGCAAGGAACATTTCATGAAACTGGGCTTAGTGATTTCTTTCCATTTTAAATCATTCTTTTAAAATGTTGCTAAATTTATTTTTGTTTAACGTCAGGGAAAAGAAGTGTCATCCAAAATCCCTACTGTATTTCATAAATTCTGTTTCTATTATGTTTCAGACCATTAAAAGTAAGTTTGTTCTTCTATATAAAGACACATCATGTAAAGAACATCAAACCCAATGAAAAAGAATTCCAAAGAAACATTGTAGTAGCTGGCAAAAGACAGCTAATGGAGAAAGACTTTTAATTAAATTACATCATATCATTTCCAAATTCCAGTGTTAAATTAATTAAAGGAGTTAAATGGGAGTTAAGAAGGTTTGGTAGAGTGAAATTTCATATATATAATACACTGGATAGGGTTACGCATGAAAGATTGGGAATTGCTTCAGGGATTTGTGTAGAGCTTTGAAAAATGCAGTTTCTTGGGAATTTTACCACAGGCCAGCTCTCTTTCTGAAGTTGATCTTTATGTATTAGTTTCTACTAAGAGGAGTTGAATATCTGAGCATTCAGAGATTACTTGCTGAGTCAGCACTAGTTGAAGCCAATTGTAAGATTCTGGACTATAATGGTGCTCATCATTCCAGAGCAGCCTTTCCACTCTGAATGTAGCTGCAGATGCTTTTTTTTTTTTTCTCCTTTTTTCCTTCTCCAGTCCTGCAGATCATTCTCTCCTTTCCAGATGAATAACTTTGGCTTTCTGTGTTGTTTTATGGAATTAGTGAAATTCTTGAATTCCCAGGATGATTACTGTTTGGAATAACAGAAGTGATGCTGTAGTTTGACTTCATGTTTGCTTCAATTAGTCAAAACAAAAAATAGCACAGGCATTATAGCTCTCTGACGGCATATGTGGAAAAATGTTGTACATTGTTTATCAGTTTATCTTATTTCTAGTTGCAGAAGATTCACCCTTGTAGAAATATTCTAAAAGAGAGAGCTTGGGTTCCACTGAAGCCAGTAGTTTAGTTGCAGGCATTAGCCAGAAGTCATTTCTTTAGTCTACTTGAAGGCAATAGATGCCTCTTGTCCTCCAGGTCTTAAGTTGCGAATTCAGATTTGTTTGCAGTTAATGTGTCTGTACACTGGTTAGGCGTGATTTGCAAAGGATCTCAACAGTATAGGAAAAGAATATGTGTCTGAGGTTACTAGAAGTGGAGAGTTATGTTAATAATCATGTTCAGATTTAACTGGCAAAAGAAGGACTAGAAGTTATGTGTACTACAATCCTTCATAGACTGCTTTGTTCCATTTGTCCTGTTGCAGCTTCTCTTCATGCTGTGGCCTGATCTTCTTAAGCTAATGACAGACAAAGCTAGTAAGTGTGAAATGGCATACTCTCTAGGATAGCACATGCCTTACTGGTGTAATACCAGTATGCTGTATAACAGAAAAAAAAAATCCTAAGGAACCAGCAAAAATGATTTAAGAAATAATGGAGAACTGCTGAACTAGGATCCCAGTTAAACTAAGATGTTGCGGAAGAAGAGACATTGATTAATTCTTAGTTAATTAGTAATAAAGCAAAATATAAGAATGGTTAATTGGCACTCTGAGGAGAGCTTACCACGGGGCTCAACAAGTTTCTGTGCTGATGTATTCATCAATAAACAAAGTCTATAAATAAAATTTTTCTGAATTTCTTACAGTAGAGAATTGCGGGAAGATCTTGTGAACATGGAATAAGTAAAAAATGGCAAATTCCTAATTTGCAGTGCAATTCCTAAGTTTCTAAGCTACTAGAAGTAATGCATATTATGGAGAGAGGGAAAAGGAATCATAGTTTATGCATGTGCAACAATGGACTTCAAACTAGCATTCGTTTAATGAAAAATTTTAAATCAATGGTCTTTTTCCTGTAAACATCAGGTCAATTCCTTGTTGCAATAACCCCCCCCCCCAACAATCCCGAAACCCCTCGGCCAGAATGTACCATCTGTTGTAGAAATCTATGTGCGTATCTACATCCCGAAACTTGTATGCCATGTTGACAGCCCCACTTGAAAAACCTTAGACTACTGACAGAAAGATACAGAAAAAGATGACAGCAAGGGGAGAAACTAACTACCACCTAGCTCAAAAATGTCTGATAGGATACACCACAGAGTTCTAAAACCTTAAGCAATTTTGAGCAGGTAAATAGCAGGTTACTGTTTGCTATTCTTGTAACGTAAGGATAAACAATTTTAATGTAGTAGCATGTTTAAAATGAACACAAGAGGGATATAAAATACAGACAATTTCTAGAAGTAGTTTCTGTGAAAGTATGGATTGAGATTTAATTCCTGGGTTTCGGTCTGTCAGTGGCTAATAAAACAATGGTCTAAGTGCAAGTTAGACCTCAGGAAGTCACAAAGGTTCCCCTGGAATCCAAAAGAAATTATGTTGGTAGGTTACCCTGTTTTTTAATATTCTTCTTGAAGCATCTGTTTCTCTTGGAGACAGGAGACTAGACTTAGAAGCAACTTTTGTCTGATTCCTGTTTGTATCAACTTTGTACAGCTCTTAAACATTTTACGCACCTAATTCCAGGTTCATTTCAAGTGAAGGAAATACTTAAGCTTTTTTTTTTTTATTTAATTTTCCTTTTCTAGGTTCTGTATTTTTTTCATGTGAAGCAAAATTGTGTTTGTTTACTGTACTTTAATTTAAAATTACAGCTGACTTTGTCAATGGATCAGCAAAACTAGAAGGTGGAGCATCACCAAGAATAAGAAAATCAAAACCAGTATGAGAACACAAGCTAGTATTGGAAGACAACATTTGACAGAAGACTGTGACTTAAAAAATTGACACTACAGAGACATTATTTGGATGTCTTTATTATTTCAATGGACACTATCAGGTTATATTTTTAGAATATTTTTTGTTAATGACCCTACACTTGCGACAAGATCATCTTTGGTCTACCTTAACCCAGTAGTCATCTCCAAATTTCACGTAGCTTTAACAGTGAACACAGATGAATCGGTTTGAGCTTCTGATTCTGTGATCAGAAGTTATTACATTTCTATAATATTTGCATTACAGACACTTCAGAAGGCTGTCAAAGTTATCTGTCTATTCATTTGTTTTTGCAAAATCAAAATTTTGTACCAAAAAGATCCTGCCATGTCTGTCTGTGTGTCCATCTGTCGTCCCCCCCCGCCTTCCCTCTCCAAGAATTTTTTTCTTTATTCTTCTTACATCAAGTAAGAGGTATATCTGAACTGGCCTGGTAAAAAACAAAAAATGTTCTATACCTGATTTCTCTTTAAAAATTGCAGATTTAGAGAGAGGGCAAATTCTGACAGGACATCACTGATCTTCTTTCCGTATAAAGGTGAGACTAATGTTTAGTAAAAATGCAAATTATGTGCCTTGGGAAAAATGCTAGACTGCCTGTTGGATTTTGCAGTGGATTGTATTGTCTTGTATGCAGCAGGGGTGGAGGGAAGGAAAGTAGCCAATTGATCTGTAGTATAATCTTAACCCTTCTGAAATAAAAGACAAAACTTCCGAATATTTTTAAAGAGCCAGTATTTCATTCTTGCTATCATGTGCCAGATTTTTTTTCAACTGTATTTTTCCTTTAATTTATAATAGACATGTCTTAAAGTTCTGGGTCTACACAGAGGATGTTTAAGTTAGGTGCTCAAACAATATTGCAATGACTGTTTCACCAAGCATAACCTAAAGGTTTTTTGTTCGTTCTTAACCTGTAGATGATCATTTAGTTTAGTCTGACTCAAGGTATTAATTTGCTCCTTGTGTGAACACTTTATCTGGATATGATTTTAATATTAATATGATTATATTATAAAAAGATTAAATGTATTTTTGTAAGTAGCTCTTGTAGATCTGAGGCTGGTATCTCAATGCTGGGTAAGTTTCATGAACTCACTTTCTTATTTGCCATAACTTTCTGTCTATGTAAATGGATTGTAGGAATATTACGTGAATTCACATAAGTCTATAAACTTCTACTGAAAATGTTTACCATGGAACTAGAATACATTTGCTAATATTTTTAATAATCTTGTGTAATAGAGTGCCACATGTGATAAAAGTATCATCTTTTGAACAGTTTGGGTGAGATTTTCTTAGCCTTTGAGTATTTCTCAGCATGCTGCTCACAGGACAGTGTTTCTTTTGGTGTATGCTGCAAAGGTAAGCTTACAGTCTGTAGATTTCAATTTGTGCACACCTAAGTTACTAGGCTTTTACAAGTGAATCCACACAGCGGTTTAGGTGTCAGTAGCCAGTTCTAGGCACATAAAACTAGACAATTCTGAACTTTAAAGATATTTTTTTTCTTCAGCATTATCAGAAAGTATGTTCCTAATACTGCCACTTGAATAAAATGACTCCATGCTTAAATATTCTTAGTATGTGACACTCATGATGGCCATTTCAAAGAAGATTGATTTTTTTCTTTAAAGGTAATTTATTTAAATTATTATTTTAGAAATACAAATGCAATGCAAGTATATGTATAGCTACAATTGTATTCATGTACACTTATATTTGATGTAGGAATCTCCTCCTTTGAACATGATTAATTTTGTTTTAAATGAAAATCACTGTCTGTATATTAAATACTTGGATACATACTTACAGTAACACCAAATACATTAAATTAATTCTAGGCTTGTTATTATGAAGATGTTTCAGAAAACTGTTTGCGACAAAATGTCTGTTTTACTTAAAACACTGTTCCTGCAAATTTAACAGCGTAATTACTTCACAGATATGAAGATAGTTCCATTGAATTTACAAAAAAAGAAAATGAGCCAGTTGGTGAACAACTAGTTCATTAATAAAAAAGCAAGTGTATATGCTTTTAGAAGTAAACTGAATTAAGGCAGTGATTCTTACGATTTTTCTTTTGGTTTTTACTGCTTTGCTAATAGAGAGTCTGTGAAAGCTAAAATGAAAACTGTTTCTTAAATCAGATGACAATGAAGATGATGTTTTTTTTTCCTTCCAGCTGAGTGGGAATGAGGAATCAGGAAAGTAGAACTCGGGTGAAAATTATTAACTCACAGGAATACTTGCTTAGATGTATTTTAAGCAACTTCTTTCTTTTGTAAATTTACAAGACTAAGACAATTTTGAGCTTATATCTGCAAGTACTTTTTAAATGCTTTTCATGGTGTTTAAATTAAAATTTGTTGGTTTGTTCCATGTTTAGAAAAAACTGCCACATTTGGGGATTGTTCCATATATTAAGTACAAGATTTTGTAGGGAAGGTATGAGATGTAGGTCATCAACTGTGAATTTCCAAGTGCTTGACAATTTCTTTCAAATTGTAGCTTTCAGAAACATTGCCAAAAATGTCTAAGGTCTTTGAAATTACTTTTCTTTAACCAAATACTTCAACCAATTCCAAACCCCTTGGGTCACAGCAAGATCCGAGGTCAATCCAGGCATCTCGTTATGAAGTCAATAAAACAAAATGCTCAGTAGAATTCTCATACAGGACTGCTTAGCTGACTGAGACATATTTAAAGCCAAATCTAAGCCAAAGGTAATGAGAGTACTGCAAAGACATGTTTATGTCACAGAGCATCTTCAGAAGCCTTGGAAACACAAGACCTAAGTGCCTTGAATCAGAGAAGTCAGAAATATGCGCTTGAGGTCTGGGGTAAAAACTGCAGCATGTTAGGGTTGTGCTTGGTGGGGTTTGTTCTGTGGATTTTTTTTTGTTGGTGGTTGGTTGGGATTTTTTTGTTGTTTAAATATAGCTTTGTCAGGTTTTTTTTGAGAACCAAGATGACTGTGTTTTTCATGTTTTTTAAATATTATGAGTGTCACATAGAGAAACAATCAAATTAGACACTGATTTCTTCCTGTTTCAGCCATGTAGCCTTTGCTGAAGTGGCATAAAATCTGTCAGTACAGATGTTGAGGCGTGTTCCCTAGTGATGTAATACTGTAATAATAATCTTATTAAGCTCTTTTTACGTTTATTTTAAGATTTTAATTTATGTAAATCATAAGACTTTCAGAGCAACTGTATGTTGTATCTTGTCACAGGCTAATTGTAAGCTTAATTCATATATCAGAGGCCCTTCGCAAATAGTCATGTGCACATCAAAATATAAATTATTACTATGCATATACTTTGTGGGGAAACCAAAATCAGGTCATCTTACTTTTAACCTTCCTTTCCTCCTAGTGGGTATGTAAGAGTTGTTTTATCTCCTGAATATTCTTTTAAAGATAAGAGGAAGGGCATCTTTTAGGCAGTGTGGAGAAGCTTACATTATCTATCTTTATCTCTGTTTTTAAACTGTATGATAGGAATCAACAGATTGTCTTGGTTTTAAAAGCAGAATAATGAGAAACCTTCCTTAGCTGATACATTTTACATTCTCTGCTTACTGAGGAGTTGAGTTGGTTGCATGAAGTGGAATAGAGTGGAGGTTTTGTGGTGGCATAGCGATGTGGACAGTAGAGTTACTCTTGCCTGCTCCTGTTCAAGTCCACTAGAACCTGTAATTATTCAGAGTAGGTTCTAAAAATGCAGAATGTTGTCTGGGAGCTGGAGTTTTAAACAAGTTCTGAAAAATGCTAGAATTTCTAAATGTTTGGTCTTTTTGAACGCTGTGTAACTCCGTAAATAATTAGTTTCATTATTTTGTTGATAAAGGAATTGGGAGGGAGGAGGCAATGTTTCATCTGTGTTTATTAATGTTAAAATGGGCAGCTGCATCTTAAAATGAAAGCACATACATACTACCTTTCTTAAACCATCTGAATGTTGACTTTTACTACAAAATATTTCTAGTACTTAAAGAAATGGGTAAAACACTGATACTGTAATCTATGAAATTTTAGATGCTTAGCTTTAAGCCTCAGTAGCTGGAACTGAGTTTATGAATTTACTGACCACAAGCAAGAGAGAAATGTTTACAAACTAATGTTGTTGTAACATTTCTTTGTTACAATTATCCCCTAATTTTCTTACATACAGTTACTCTTTCAGTGAAACAAGCAATCCACTCCAGGTTACATTGACTAACATGTGACTGTCTGATTGCAACAAATATACTGGTTTGGTTTTAATTCCCCTTAAGATGTATTTTCTTTTCAGTTAATCAACTTGTCTGTCCTTTTTCTGCTTAAACAATTAGTGTTGAAATGTGTTTTTTAAAAATTCATTATGAAAAATAGATTTGCATAAATATGATTTAATAATTCTATAAGCTAAAATTATGGTTTAGTGAAAGGCTGCTGAAATACCATAAAGGATTTTGCTGAAACACTAGTTTGTTTTACATAGTTTGTTTTACACGGTTTTCCATGAGAATTTGATTGTTTAATGTGTAATCAATAATGTATAGCACAAGACCTCTGTTTTCAGTGTATGTAAGATTCTGTTTATTCACTTGAGAAAGGTTTCTTTAGCAATATCTTATCCATTTTAAAAAAATTGTTCTCTAATGATGTATTTCAGATGCATCTCATTTTACTCTATATTTTTGTTTAATTTCCTTTGTTACCATTGAATAATCTGTTTTATTGTTATACTAAACCAGTTACTCTTGATAGCCTGGTCAGTTAGGCAGATTAGCCACACAAAATTGGATTGCTAGTCTAGGAAGGAGGTATGTATGTACTTTGCGTTTATTAAAAAAAAATAAATAAAAAATCAAGAGACTCCACTTCTTCGACACTTTACCCGTTTCCTATCCGTGTTGGTTTTCTTTGCTTATTCAATGCCAGAACAACATTTCTGTATAGTCCCT